TTTCCGATACTCTTCTTATGTTAAAGTAATCGTTCCTAGCTTTGTTACATCTAATCCTGTTGTCTTTGGCCCTTTGTTTTTTGTACTTCCTCCACTTCCTCCTGCTTCTCATTTTTGCTTCCTGACACTGCCTATTAAACCATTGGTTATTATATTCCCTTCTACTTTTTTCGTTTACTGTTCGTATAAATCTCTCTATAACCTTTTTCATTTCCATATGACTAGGTCCATCATATCTTGGACTGTTTTTCCTCTAATTTCTTCCTCCCACTGCACTTCTCACAGATAGTTCCTTATCCTCCTGTAGTCCCCTTTCCTGTAGTCAACTCTCCTTTCCCAGACATCTTGTCCAGTGGTCACAATTTTAATTTCCATCATGTAGTCGAAGACTAGGACACAATAGTCACTAGCTCCTAGAGGTATTTCATGTTCCAAATTCTCGATGTCTTCTATGATCTGGGTGAAAATCAGGTCTAATAGGCTCGGTGTATCTTTCTATCTTCTTTCCCTTGTGTCTTCCTTCACATGTTGTGTTAAGAAATTAGTATCTATAACGTCTACTAACTTCGCTCCCCACGTTTCCTCCCCGCCATGGGGATTCTTTGATTCCTAATTGATCTCTCCATGATTTAGGTCCTCCATGACCAGCAGTTTCGCTCTCATTCTGTGAGCTATTGTTGCTGTCCTCTGCAGTTCATCTATGCACGTCTTGTTGTTGTCATCATACTCCGGCCTGGGATCTTCTACTGTTTGGTGGGGGGATTGTAGATTTTCAAGATCACAATTTTCCTCCCATCTGCTATCAGAGTCCCATGAATGGAGCTTGTGCTTTTATTGGTACCCCAGTTTTCCAGGTCTTCAAACTTCCATTTCAGCTTTATTAGAAGAGCTACTCCCCCTCCCTGTCTTTGTGTCCTTTCTTTTCTTATCACTTAGGTGGATATTGTGCTAACTGACAACGTGTTGAGCACAAGCAGCCAAGACACAGAGAGTAGCAAGTTCTGCATCTTTATATCAACAACAAAAATGGAGATCTCTTGTAACGTCACATTCCTGAGAGGTTATCTGCAGGAAGACAGTGTATCAGCAGTCACAGAAGACCAGCAATAGTCCGTCTAGTGTGTGCCAGCGAACTCGTAATAACTTATGAGTGCTGTTAATTGCTGCCTCAAGACAGCGGATGAGCCCTTATGACTTGGCCTATCACATTTCAGAATGAGTGCAAATTGTGATTATTTAGCAGCTGAGTGAAGGCCATGCTGTCTGCACTCTGAGATGATGGTCATGTATACGGGACAACCATGATTCTTGAAGGATAAAAAAAAGGTCCTCTGAAGTGTTCAGTGTTCACAGTGGTACTCGATTGTTCTATTCATGGATTAAAGAGGACTTAAGGCCCTAAATGAGTGTTTAGGATGGAAACACTGAACCAGCACCCCCCCCCCACCTCCTTAAACTCTTGAGAATACAAGAACAACTCTGTGGTAAATGACAATTACTTAGTGCTTGGTTATTTCCACTTTAAGATTATTCTTGGTAATAACGTTCAGCTTGTTGGAGAGAGTCGCAGCCTGGAGACAGTGATGAAGACACACGCTCTAATGAGTCAATTCCATTACTAATTACAGCCATAATGTGTCATTGCAGTTATTATAGCTATTGTCAGTGTTAATGATTACAGCGATAATATATCATTGCAGTTCATTATTACCGCTATAATGCATCATTTCAGCTAATTAACTCCTGAAGGGTCAATATTGTATTTACATTTTTTTATTGCTATATTTTGATTTTAACTGGACGCTTTGATTCCATTATCATGCTTGAAAAGCTTTCAGATACTGTTTAATTGTTTACAAAATTATGCTAAATAATTCATAGCCTATTAAACATTTTTCATCAGTAACATAAATGCTAAATTTTTACTACATCTGCAATCTCTCTAATAAATAACAGCTTGTATAACCCTCTATTGATGTTAAAGATATTATGATTGTATTTTATTAAGCAAAAGTTAATTATTTTACAAAATATAGATAATGACGTATATTTTACAATCGAGTGGATATATTCCATCATGTTTACAACTGAGCGGTCATAATCCCTCAAGTGTAGCTGCGGGCTCGCCATAGCCCGTGCTACTTGGAACTTTTTGTTCCAAGTAGCGAATCTTAAACAACAACAACAACAACACCCTCAAGTGTAGAAATGAGTGGTTATATTTCTCATGTGTACGACTTAAGTGGTCGTATTCCCCATGTACACCGTTTTGATTAGATAGATCGTCACAGTGATCGACACAGTGATCGTCACAGTGATCGTCACAGTGATCGTCACAGTGATCGTCACAGTGATCGTCACAGTGATCGTCACAGTGATCGTCACAGTGATCGTCACAGTGATCGTCACAGTGATCGTCACAGTGATCGACACAGTGATCGTCACAGTGATCGTCACAGTGATCGTCACAGTGATCGTCACAGTGATCGTCACAGTGATCGTCACAGTGATCGTCAGTGATCGTCACAGTGATCGACACAGTGATCGTCACAGTGATCGTCACAGTGATCGTCACAGTGATCGACACAGTGATCGTCACAGTGATCGTCACAGTGATCGTCACAGTGATCGTCACAGTGATCGTCACAGTGATCGTCACAGTGATCGTCACAGTGATCGTCACAGTGATCGTCACAGTGATCGTCACAGTGATCGTCACAGTGATCGTCACAGTGATCGTCACAGTGATCGTCACAGTGATCGTCACCGTGATCGACACAGTGATCGTCACAGTGATCGTCACAGTGATCGTCACAGTGATCGTCACAGTGATCGTCACAGTGATCGACACAGTGATCGTCACAGTGATCGTCACAGTGATCGTCACAGTGATCGACACAGTGATCGACACAGTGATCGTCACAGTGATCGTCACAGTGATCGTCACCGTGATCGACACAGTGATCGACACAGTGAGTGCTGTGTTCTTCAACATACTGATCAGTTCCCTCAACAGACACTCTGGCAGGTTGTGTGTGTGGGGGGGGGGGACGTGTCCACGTGTTGAGACTGACAAGTTCTCAGTCAACAATATTTTAAGCGTGTAAATTTGTCGAAAGTAAAATCAAAACTTGTGATCGCTTTGCTCACTGCTGCGATGGCTTCCCATGTGATTAACTTCCCATTATCTCTATCTCTCTCTCTCTCTCTCTCTCTCTCTCTCTCTCTCTCTCTCTCTCTCTCTCTCTCTCTCTCTCTCTCTCTCTCTCTCTCTCTCTCTCTCTCTTTGTCTTCCTACCTTTCTATGCCTCTGTATCTTTCTCTGTATCTTTATCTCTTTTTCTTTCTATCTCTCTGTATTTCTACCTCAGTATTTTTTTTTATCTCTCTCTCAGAGTCCAACCAATAGGGCTGGATGGTAGAGTGACGGTCTCACTTCATGCAGGTCGACGTTCAATCCCCGACCGTCCAAGTGGTTAGGCACCATTCCTTCCCCACCGTCCCATCCCAAATCAAACAAAACATATTTTTTTATTTTATTTTTTTAGGTAGAGCTATAATAAGGAAATACCTTTCACGACAGCTCATTACGAGCGAGGCTCGTGTCGCCTCAGTTAGACGCGTCTCATGAATGGCTAATTATTTCTTCATCTCTTCCGAGAGGTTTTCATATTCGTGTCATTGAGTATCACAGCCGGGTTGGGGGTTCCTGGCGAGTCTGCTCACCTATCGCAAGACTTATTCAAGCTTTGCGTGTGTTTGGTGCAAAGTTAGCCGAGGATAGATCCTTTCCCTATCGTGATCGAACGTCAACGTCTTAATAGTTTGGTACTGGTGAGGCGTCATGTATGTTACATGAGAGAAAATGTCGCTGAGGTTTTATTTTAAGAAAACGACATGGGAAGAGAGTTGAAGTTCGACGCAGGGGTGGACCTGGAGACCTGTCTCTGTATCTTATTGAGGCTCACCAGTCCAGCCCCCAACTGGCACGTGGACAACCAGTCCAGCCCCCAACTGGCACGTGGACAACCAGTCCAGCCCCCCACTGTCACGTGGACAACCAGTCCAGCCCCCAACTGGCACGTGGACAACCAGTCCAGCCCCCCCACTGTCACGTGGACAACCAGTCCAGCCCCCCACTGTCACGTGGACAACCAGTCCAGCCCCCCACTGTCAAGTGGACAACCAGTCCAGCCCCCAATGTCACACTTTCACCTCCCCAGCTGCCTACCCGAGGCCACATGGTCGTGTTGTAGACACATGATAGAGAAAAGACCTTGGAAGCTGCATCTTGTTCGAGTCCTGTGGCAGTGAAGATCCGTCACTGCCAAAGACAGGTGACACCCGGTTGGGCACCACCCCCCACTCTCTCTCCCTCATTCCCACCCCACTCTCCCCTCATTCCCACCCCACTCTCCACTCATTCCCACCCCACTCTCCACTCATTGCCACCCCACTCTCCACTCATTCCCACCCCACTCTCCACTCATTCCCACCCCACTCTCCACTCATTCCCACCCCACTCTCCACTCATTCCCACCCCACTCTCCACTCATTCCCACCCCACTCTCCACTCATTTCCACCCCACTCTCCCCTCATTCCCACCCCATTCTCCCCCCATCCAATTCACCCCACGAGACTGTCCCCTCTCCCCGTCCCCACCTCACCCTTCCATCACCCCCTCCAATCATCTCCCCAATATTGAACATCGTACAACAGTGTTCATATAATTGTCAGTAGGCAACCTCAGTGCAACGAAGCTGAAGACTTTTGCTTTATCCCGAAGTAGACACCTGAGTAACTCGAGAGAGAGAGAGAGAGAGAGAGAGAGAGAGAGAGAGAGAGAGAGAGAGAGAGAGAGAGAGAGAGAGAGAGAGAGAGAGAGAGAGAGAGAGAGAGAGAGAGAGGGGGGGGCGGGGGATCGAACGGATGGCCACATGCTTGGAGGGAAGAGCACTGAGTGGAGAAATTGTTGAATGTTTGGATCGAAAACTTTACTTCATACACAATTTTGAGAAAATGAAGGTTGAGTGACGGTGTTGGAGGCTGTGGTGTGAGTGACGGTGTTGGAGGCTGCGGGGTGAGTGACGGTGTTGGAGGCTGCAGGGTGAGTGACGGTGTTGGAGGCTGCGGGGTGAGTGACGGTGTTGGAGGCTGCAGGGTGAGTGACGGTGTTGGAGGCTGTGGGGTGAGTGACGGTGTTGGAGGCTGCAGGGTGAGTGACGGTGTTGGAGGCTGTGGGGTGAGTGACGGTGTTGGAGGCTGCGGGGTGAGTGACGGTGTTGGAGGCTGCGGGGTGAGTGACGGTGTTGGAGGCTGCGGGGTGAGTGACGGTGTTGGAGGCTGCAGGGTGAGTGACTGTGTTGGAGGCTGCGGGGTGAGTGACGGTGTTGGAGGCTGCGGGGTGAGTGACGGTGTTGGAGGCTGCGGGGTGAGTGACGGTGTTGGAGGCTGCGGGGTGAGTGACGGTGTTGGAGGCTGCGGGGTGAGTGACGGTGTTGGAGGCTGTGGGGTGAGTGACGGTGTTGGAGGCTGCGGGGTGAGTGACGGTGTTGGAGGCTGTGGGGTGAGTGACGGTGTTGGAGGCTGCGGGGTGAGTGACGGTGTTGGAGGCTGTGGGGTGAGTGACGGTGTTGGAGGCTGTGGTGTGAGTGACGGTGTTGGAGGCTGCGGGGTGAGTGACGGTGTTGGAGGCTGCGGGGTGAGTGACGGTGTTGGAGGCTGTGGGGTGAGTGACGGTGTTGGAGGCTGTGGGGTGAGTGACGGTGTTGGAGGCTGCGGGGTGAGTGACGGTGTTGGAGGCTGTGGGGTGAGTGACGGTGTTGGAGGCTGTGGGGTGAGTGACGGTGTTGGAGGCTGCGGGGTGAGTGACGGTGTTGGAGGCTGCAGGGTGAGTGACGGTGTTGGAGGCTGTGGGGTGAGTGACGGTGTTGGAGGCTGCGGGGTGAGTGACAGTGTTGGAGGCTGCGGGATGAGTGACGGTGTTGGAGGCTGCGGGGTGAGTGACGGTGTTGGAGGCTGCGGGGTGAGTGACGGTGTTGGAGGCTGCGGGCTGAGTGACGGTGTTGGAGGCCTTAGGCTGAGTGACGGTGTTGGAGGCTGCAGGCTGAGTGACGGTGTTGGAGGCTGCAGGCTGAGTGACGGTGTTGGAGGCTGCAGGCTGAGTGACGGTGTTGGAGGCTGCAGGCTGAGTGACGGTGTTGGAGGCTGCAGGGTGAGTGACGGTGTCATGGCTGACAGGAACTCGCCCCAGCCAGGGTAAAGAGCACACCCCACCTCTTCACTACACACACGACCTCCATCACTGTAGCATCTCCATCACTCCATCACAGGTACATCCATCACTGTAGCATCTCCATCACTCCATCACAGGTACAGCCATCACTGTAGCATCTCCATCACTCCATCACAGGTACAGCCATCACTGTAGCATCTCCATCACTCCATCACAGGTACATCCATCACTGTAGCATCTCCATCACTCCATCACAGGTACAGCCATCACTGTAGCATCTCCATCACTCCATCACAGGTGCATCCATCACTGTAGCATCTCCATCACTCCATCACAGGTACAGCCATCACTGTAGCATCTCCATCACTCCATCACAGGTACATCCATCACTGTAGCATCTCCATCACTCCATCACAGGTACAGCCATCACTGTAGCATCTCCATCACTCCATCACAGGTACAGCCATCACTGTAGCATCTCCATCACTCCATCACAGGTACATCCATCACTGTAGCATCTCCATCACTCCATCACAGGTACACTGTAGCATCTCCATCACTGTAGCATCTCTACATCACTCCATCACAGGTACCTTCATCACTGTAGCATCTCCATCACTCTATCACAGGTACAGCCATCACTGTAGCATCTCCATCACTCCATCACAGGTACATCCATCAATGTAGCATCTCCATCACTCCATCACACGTACAGCCATCACTGTAGCATCTCCATCACTCCATCACAGGTACATCTATCACTGTATACGTTACGAAGCCTCCTGGCTGCCTTGTTTCCCAAAGACTTTCAGACCCTAGAATCAACCTACGTGAGACCCAATCAAGAATATGCAGCACTGGCATGGGACAGTCCCGTGTAGCAGGAAATTCGAAACTATGAAAGTTCCAAAGATATTCTACAAGGCTCGTTCCTGAGCTGAAGGGCTTGAGTTACGAGGAAGACTGAGGAAACTGGACAGGGAGTGATAAGGAAGGACATGATAACGACATATTAGATCCTGTGTGGAATTGACCATGTAGACCAAGAAGACTTGTTCAAAGCTAGTAAGAGAACGATGGGTCATAGAAGAAACAAGACACACAAATACGACACATATTTCAGAGAGAACCGTTTCAGTGTTATATACCCATCAATAAGTACAATGACTTCAACGCTTATTTGTCTAACTTAATACGCAACTTTATTTGTAAATGTGATAAGAGAAAAGCATTAACTGAAGGTGACTGACGCCTGACGGCTGAGTGGAGAGCGCTTCTGATTCGTAGTCCTGAGGTTCCGGGTTCGATCCCCCGTGCAGGTGGAGACAAATAGGCAAAAAGTTTCTTTTCACCCTGATGCCCCATTTACCTAGCAGTAAATAAGTACCTGGGAGTTAGACAGTTGCTACGGGCTGCTTCCTGGGGGATGGGTGTGTGTTTACTAGTTGTGTTTTTACGGGGGTTGAGCTTTGCTCTTTCGGCCCGCCTCTCAACTGTCAATCAACTGTTTACTAACTACTTTTTTTTTTTTTTTTTTTTTTTTTCCACACCACCACACACCCCAGGAAGCAGCATGTGACAGCTGACTAACTCCCAGGTACCTATTTACTGCTAGGTAACAGGGGCATTCAGGGTGAAAGAAACTTTGCCCATTTGTTTCTGCCTCGTGCGGGAATCGAACCCGCGCCACAGAATTACGAATCCTGCGCGCTATCCACCAGGCTACGAGGCCCCTGTGTGTGTGTGTGTGTGTGTACTCACCTATTTATACTCACCTATTTGTGTCTGCAGGATCGAGCATTGACTCTTGGATCCCGTCTTTCGAGCATCGGTTGTTTTCAGCAATGACTCCTATCCCATTTCCCTATCATACCTGATTTTAAAATTATGAATAGTATTTGCTTCCACAACCTGTTCCCCAAGTGCATTCCATGTTTCCACTACTCTCACGCTAAAAGAAAACTTCCTAACATCTCTGTGACTCATCTGAGTTTCCAGCTTCCACCCATGTCCCCTCGTTATGTTACTATTCCGTGTGAACATTTCGTCTATGTCCACTATGTCAAGCCCCCCTGAGTATTGTATACGTTACTATCATATCCTCCCTCTCCCTTCTTCTTTGTAAGTAAGGCACAGTTCCTTCAGGCGCTCTTCATACCCCATCCCTCGTAACTCTGGGACGAGTCTCGTTGCAAACTTCTGAACCTTTTCCAGTTTCCTTATATGCTTCTTCAGATGGTGACTCCATAATGAGGCGGCATACTCTAAGACTGGCCTCACGTAGGCAGTGTAAAGCGCCCTAAATACCTCCTTACTTAGGTTTCTGAATGATGTTTTAACTTTTGCCAGTGTAGTGTGTGTTAGAGAGAAATATATGTCGTAGATATAATAGAGGAAAACTAGATTGGTTAGAAAGGTGGGGTCCAAGAGCTAATAGCTCGATTCTGCATTCGCAGATACTAAATACACACATGCACACTTTATTGCTCATTATAAGTAATATTAGTAACTTAACATTCTACGCCACTGACGATATATATATATATATATATATATATATATATATATATATATATATATATATATATATATATATATATATATATATATATATTTATATAATATAAATTTGTATATATAATATAAATTTATATAATATTATTTATATAATATAAATTAGAGGTGATAATGAAGTGAGAGTAACCCGATTATCAGCTCGCATCTGCAGTCAATATTTTAATTCAAATTTTAATGAGTTTTCACCGAATATTTTAGTAGATTCCCACCACGATTTAGCAGCGAGGGCAATGGTTGTTAGTGAGGTGGGTGGTTGTTATTGAGGTGGGTGGTTGTTAGTGTGGTGGGTGGTTGTTAGTGTGGTGGGTGGTTGTTATTGAGGTGGGTGGTTGTTAGTGTGGTGGGTGGTTGTTAGTGTGGTGGGTGGTTGTTAGTGAGGTGGGTGGTTGTTAGTGAGGTGGGTGGTTGTTAGTGAGGTGGGTGGTTGTTAGTGAGGTGGGTGGTTGTTAGTGAGGTGGGTGGTTGTTAGTGAGGTGGGTGGTTGTTAGTGAGGTGGGTGGTTGTTAGTGTGGTGGGTGGTTGTTAGTGTGGTGGGTGGTTGTTATTGAGGTGGGTGGTTGTTAGTGTGGTGGGTGGTTGTTAGTGTGGTGGGTGGTTGTTAGTGAGGTGGGTGGTTGTTAGTGAGGTGGGTGGTTGTTAGTGAGGTGGGTGGTTGTTAGTGAGGTGGGTGGTTGTTAGTGAGGTGGGTGGTTGTTAGTGAGGTGGGTGGTTGTTAGTGAGGTGGGTGGTTGTTAGTGAGGTGGGTGGTTGTTAGTGAGGTGGGTGGTTGTTAGTGAGGTGGGTGGTTGTTAGTGAGGTGTGTGGTTGTTAGTGAGGTGGGTGGTTGTTAGTGAGGTGGGTGGTTGTTAGTGAGGTGGGTGGTTGTTAGTGAGGTGGGTGGTTGTTAGTGAGGTCGGTGGTTGTTAGCGAGGTCGGTGGTTATAAGAGAGGTCTGTGGTTGTTAGCGAGGTCGGTAGTTATTAGTGAGGTCTGTGGTTGTTAGCGAAGCCGAGGGATGTTAACGAAGCCAAAGTATGTTAGCAAGGTTATATACCAAGTGAAACTGAACCAACTGATACGGAAACTGAACTCTCTTGATACGGAGCTAAACAAACGCATCGGTAAGGCATCTACTACCATGTCCAGACTGACAAAGAGAGTGTGGACCAACAACAGGCTGACTGAGTATACAAAGATTCAGGTTTACAGAGCCTGTGTCCTGAGCACTCTCCTTTATGGCAGTGAGTCTTGGACACTCCGCGCCTGTCGGGAAAGACAGCTGAATGCCTACCACATGCACTGCCTTCGACACATCTTGGACATCACCTGGCAGGACAAGGTGACAGACAACAACGTCTTGGGGAGAGCAAGAATCACCAGCATGTACACAATGCTAAAACAGACACGAATGCGCTGGCTCGGACACGTGATGCCAATGGGCGACGGCAGGATCCCCAAGGATCTCCTGTATGGAGAGCTGACGCAGGGACAGCGTTCAACAGGCAAGCCCCAGCTACGGTACAAAGACGTATGCAAGAGGGACTGAAAGCCATGGACGTCGATCTTGCTACGTGGGAAACACTGGCTGCAGACTGTTCAGTCTGGAGGCAGTCTGTTCAAAGAGATTTCTCCAAGTTCGAGGAGTCACTTGCCGAGAAATCGGAGGGAAAAAGACAGAAGGAAAGCCGGTAGGCAGGAATACAGACCAGAATCAGACTTCGTGGGATGGACTGCCACTCTCGGATTGGCCTCATCAGTCACACCAGACGCTGCACCAGGACTGACAACTAGGGCGCAACTCCATAGTCTCCCGAGACTGAAGGATACCTACTACCACTATTCCAAGTGACGCTCCCTAGGGTGCTTCTCACTTTATATGAACGTGAGTTTGCTTTAATAATAAACTTGTTCGTGTAATGAAGGTTGTCAATTATATAGAACTTGTGCTTAACAAGATTTAAGCAAGAAAACTAACCTAATATAACCTGACCTAAAATAACCCAGTAAACCCCAACCTAACCTGACTAGATCAGTCGTAACCTAACCTACCTCTTCATCCCAGCTTTGTACAGCAGGATACACCCTTTCCGGCCAAAGTGTTGTGGACGGGCGATCATCTGACACTTGGAGGACCTCCTCAGGTCAATCTGTCCAGTTACAAACAACGTCGCATTTCGATCGTATATGCGTTATATAAGGCCAAAAATTTTCATTCTTGAAAATGGAAGCGGCTCACGAAAGTGACGTACTGTCTGTCCCGTTTTCTGTTTTGCGACAGACCTATATGATAGGTCTGTAGTCTAGGTCTCCTTACCTATATGATAGGTAAGGAGAGGATACTTTTAAATTTACCGTTGTCCTGACGTTTGGGAAACCGTAGGAGGACGGGCTGCTCAGTTGTATGGCCCCATCATGAGCAGAGGAGGGATTCAGCGCGCAGACGATGTACGCATTCACTGAGAGTTCGTCGGTGAGACATTTCCCCATCCGTGTTCTCAAAATAACCCTTCCAGACCTTGTGTCCTGCTCGATATTACCTCGCCAGCTATTCCTCATCCACCTGCTTGGTATTACACCATGGACTATCCCCCCTCCCCCCTTACCTTCCATTCTACTTAATATTAATCCCTTGTTTCCCTGTGTCTCGTCCTGTTGATTATTAGCGGCGTCTCTAACTCCTGTCAGCAGGCTCGGGCTGAGCTCTCTCTCTCTCTTGGCTGTTGTGTTGGTTGTATGTAAATGAGCTGGCCGTGGTGGGAGTGTGGACTGCTGAACACTGGGGTTATGATAGCGTGTAATTTAGATAGCCAGGGCCTGAATTTGTCGCGTACAATATGATATATATTTTGTGTGTGTGTGTGTGTGTGTGTGTGTGTGTGTGTGTGTGTGTGTGTGTGTGTGTGTGTGTGTGTGTGTGTGTTTGTACTCACCTATTTGTACTCACCTATTTGTACTCACCTATTTGTGCTTGCGGGGGTTGAGCTCTGGCTCTTTGGTCCCGCCTCTCAACTGTTACTACTATTTTTTGTTCTCCACACCACACACACACACACCAGGAAGCAGCCCGTGACAGCTGACTAACTCCCAGGTACCTATTTACTGCTAGGTAACAGGGCTATAGAGTGAAAAAAAACTCTGCCTATTGTTTTTTGCCGGCGTCCGGGATCGAACCCGGGACTACAGAATCACGCGTCCAGCGTGCTGTCCGCTCAGCCACCGGCCCCTTAAACAGTGTGTACTCACCTAGTTGTACTCACCTAGTTGAGTTTGCGGGTGTTGAGCTTCGTCTCTTTGGTCCCGCCTCTCAACCGTCGTGTGTGTGTGTGTGTGTGTGTTTACTAGTTGTGTTTTTGCGGGGGTTGAGCTTTGCTCTTTCGGCCCGCCTCTCAACTGTCAATCAACTGTTTACTAACTACTATTTTTTTTTTTCCCCCACACACCACACACAGGAAGCAGCCCGTGACAGCTGACTAACTCCCAGGTACCTATTTACTGCTAGGTAACAGGGGCACTTAGGGTGAAAGAAACTTTGCCCATTTGTTTCTGCCTCGTGCGGGAATCGAACCCGCGCCACAGAATTACGAGTCCTGCGCGCTATCCACCAGGCTACGAGGCCCATTGTGTGTAGTCACCTATATGTTCTCACCTAAACGTGATTGTCGAGCTTCTGCTCTTAAGTCCCGCCTTTCTACCATCAAGAGTGCCATGCAGTGACACTCGTCACTAATTATATGTGTGTGTATTTACCTATTTGAGTTTGTAGAACCGAGCTTCAGCTCTTGAACCCCGTCATTCAAGTCGCTGGCCATCTACTGTAATGATTAGCGATCAATAGTTTCCTCTCATATCTACTTAACAATTATGAATATGAATAGCCTCTATTTCTACTTCATCATCTACTTCATTCTACTTCATTTTCTACTATTACGCTAAGATAACATTTTCTGCTATCTCTAAGGCTCATCTGTGCTTCTGGTTTTCACGCCTTGTTCTTCAGTTCTATTGGATGTTGTTGTTGTTGTTTAAGATTTGCTACTTGGAACAAAAAGTTCCAAGTAGCACGGGCTATGGCGAGCCCGTAGTGTTCTATTCGTATGCTGTTGTAATCTATTAGTATTCTATTGCTATGTGTATACACGTAGGACAAAAACAACGTCCACAAGAGCCTCTATTACCGTCAATTACGTCAATTGCCTCAATGTGTTGCGTGTTGAGATGTGTTGCGTGTTGAGGTGTGTTGCGTGTTGAGATGTGTTGCGTGTTGAGGTGTGTTGCGTGTTGAGATGTGTTGCGTGTTGAGGTGTGTTGCGTGTTGAGGTGTGTTGCGTGTTGAGGTGTGTTCTGTGTCCCTGGGCCGGTGTGGCGTGCACCGCCCCCCCCCCCTGCTGGCTCCTGTTGCCGGGGCAACTCTGTTGTGCACTCAACCCCTACAGCCACGCACTCAACCCCTACAGCCACGCACGCAACACCTACAGCCACGCACTCAACCCCTACAGCCACGCACGCAACACCTACAGCCACACACTCAACACCTACAGCCACGCACTCATCACCTACAGCCACGCACTCAACACCTACAGCCACGCACTCAACCCCTACAGCCACGCACTCAACCCCTACAGCCACGCACTCATCACCTACAGCCACGCACTCAACACCTACAGCCACGCACTCAACACCTACAGCCACGCACTCAACACCTACAGCCACGCACTCAACACCTACAGCCACGCACTCAACACCTACAGCCACGCACGCAACATCTATAGCCACGCACTCAACACCTACAGCCACGCACTCAACCCCTACAGCCACGCACTCAACACCTACAGCCACGCACTCAACCCCTACAGCCACGCACGCAACACCTATAGCCACACACGCAACATCTACAGCTACGCTCTCAACCCCTACAGCCACGCACTCAACCTCTACAGCCACGCACTCAACCCCTACAGCCACGCACTCAACCCCTACAGCCACGCACTCAACCCCTACAGCCACGCACTCAACCCCTACAGCCACGCACTCAACACCTACAGCCACGCACTCAACCCCTACAGCCACGCACTCAACACCTACAGCCACGCACTCAACACCTACAGCCACGCACTCAACCCCTACAGCCACGCACTCACGCACTCAACACCTACAGCCACGCACTCAACCCCTACAGCCACGCACTCAACCCCTACAGCCACGCACTCAACACCTACAGCCACGCACTCAACCCCTACAGCCACGCACTCAACACCTCCAACCAGGCACTCCTCATCACCGCACTTGTCACACACCACTTGCCACACCAACTTTGCAGAATACTCCTGTAACGCACCAGTTACAGGCCTGTAACGCACCAGTTACAGGCCTGTAACGCACCAGTTACAGGCCTGTAACGCACCAGTTACAGGCCAGTAACGCACCAGTTACAGGCCTGTAACGCACCAGTTACAAGCCAGTAACGCACCAGTTACAGGCCAGTAACGCGCCAGTAGCGCACCAGTTACAGGCCAGTAACGCACCAGTTACAGGCCAGTAACGCACCAGTTACAGGCCAGTAACGCACCAGTTACAGGCCAGTAACGCACCAGTTACAGGCCAGTAACGCACCAGTTACAGGCCAGTAACGCACCAGTTACAGGCCAGTAACGCACCAGTTACAGGCCAGTAACGCACCAGTTACAGGCCAGTAACGCACCAGTTACAGGCCAGTAACGCACCAGTTACAGGCCAGTAACGCACCAGTTACAGGCCAGTAACGCACCAGTTACAGGCCAGTAACGCACCAGTTACAGGCCAGTAACGCACCAGTTACAGGCCAGTAACGCACCAGTTACAGGCCAGTAACGCACCAGTTACAGGCCAGTAACGCACCAGTTACAGGCCAGTAACGCACCAGTTACAGGCTACTGGACACAACGAACAACGACCTGCTGAGCAAACGAATATTTCGTGACAATGAGAGAGAATTGTCCACGCATTTGGGCATTTGCATCCAGAACTCCTTATATAAGGATTTCCAGTCCAATTTTGGAACAGGCAGACTTGTACCACATGCAGAGGGGAAAGTGCTGAATCTTTCCTTCATGTGGCTTGTACCACGTGAAGGAGAAAGGGTAGAATAGTCCTTCTTGGCTGGAGATTACATTAATACGTATTTCTATGCCACTGGATCAGTAAGAGAAATCCGGTCCCATTTCAACCCGCTCTTCTACCCACTTTTCTACCCGCTATCGTGATGTAGCCCCCGTGGCATAGAGGGGAGGGGGGGAAGGAGGAAGACCCGGTCACTGCCGGGTACCCGTCTAGTGAATTATAGCAGATCACCGATATTGTTGCAACAAAAGATGCAACGATAATTCATGCTTAAACCTGGCGACAGAGAGTCGACTTGATATCTTCCGGGCCGCCAAGGAATGGGGGGGAGGAGGAGGCAAGGGGTGATATCATTTACGCAAAAACGTAAACATAATGAGTGCTGCTGAAGGCCTATTGACTCATATAAGGCAACTCGTAATTTTATCCCTACAAATTCATGTGTGTGTAATCACCGCCGCTTGAAACGAGCGATCCCGCATTGTTACCTGGTAATTTGCTCCATACATCAGCAAGAGCAGGTTATAGGTTATATATATATATAAATATATATATATATATATATATATATATATATATATATATATATATATATATATATACGTTGGATAACTATAACAGTTGCCCCTTTTGGTGTTTTTTATTCAATAAAGCACCCTGTTCTGTGATGTGTGTGTGTGTGTGTGTGTGTGTGTGTGTGTGTGTGTGTGTGTGTGTGTGTGTGTGTGTTTGCATTCACCGTTGTGTAAGAGAGATCTTGCCGTTGCATGCAGATTCCCTGCATAGCGCTTCTCGGGTTGCTTCCTTGCTCAATTTAACCACACAATTACACACTATCAATCGTAGCGGTGAGCGTCCCGTGTTACATAGCGTGCCGGCCCGAGGTAGGCGATATAGGAGCCCAAATGTCTCTCGCTGAAGGCACGGACGCACAGTGCGTCAGGTCTGGTGACGCAGTGTGTGTGAGAACTCGTGACGCAAGACGTATACACCCGGGACATTTGGCGTCTCTAGTTGTGTCAGCCACGGTCGAAGATTCGCTTAAAAATGCTTAGAAATTATAATTAGGCGATAATCACTAGTGTCAAACAAGATGAGCGTCCTTGGTTAAGCTTGGCATGTGTCATACAATATTCAGAGAGCACCGAGGTATAGAGCGCTCTCACTTTGTGACGTCAAGCAAGCAGGTGATTGGCCCCCGCCCAATCACGGCCGATCTCGCTGACGCTTGATGTCACAGGGTCTCCTCCCAGTGCTTACACGAGGTCGCGTGACCTTTAAAAGGGTCGTCGAGGGATGTCACATCATACCTCTACGAGGCGCCAGCTTGTTTGTCAACAAAGAATACAGTAAAGATCCACCCCGAGTATCAACCTCATTGCGTAGGCTATCATGCATTCTGGAATAGATCAAATATTGCTTGAGAGTCCCTGTTGTTTTGTAGGACTCTCAGAAAAGTCCTCGCAGTGTTACGCCCTCTGTTATATATGTTATCATTGTATACATCACATCACTACAAAATTTGAATCAATGGGAATACAACTCACCCTGTGAGAGCGGCGGGCCCGGGTTCCCCAGCTCTTACTCCTGCTTTGTGTCAGGTTTCCGCTCTTCAGTTACTCCAGCTCACAGCGTTTTTGTCTGTAAGTTAACATTCCTTAATGACGGGAGAGTTATCGAGGGTGACGGTAGCGGCTACAGCCTCAGCCGAATCAGTTCCAGGAGCAGGATTAGCGGTGATGGGATGTCAGAGGAGGGTGATAATAGCGGGCAGCTTTGACGCATGGTATAAGCCGATAGTGGTGGCAGGGAGGGTGCCAATAATGGTGGCAGTAGTGGTGTCAAGAGTGGTGGCAGGGAAGGTGCCAATAATGGTGGCAGTAGTGGGACAAGAGTGGTGGCAGGGAAGTGCCAAATGGCAGTAGTGGTGGTGGGCAGTAGTGTCAACACTTGTGGCAGCAGTAGTGTCAAGTCAACACTTGTGGCAGCAGTAGTGTCAACACTTGTGGCAGCAGTGGTGTCAACACTTGTGGCAGCAGTGGTGTCAACACTTGTGGCAGCAGTGGTGTCAACACTTGTGGCAGCAGTAGTGTCAACACTTGTGGCAGCAGTGGTGTACACTTGTGGCAGCAGTGGTGTCAACACTTGTGGCAGCAGTAGTGTCAACACTTGGTGACAGCAGTGGTCAACACTTGTGGCAGCAGTGGTGTCAACACTTGTGGCAGCAGTGGTGTCAACACATGGTGGCAGTGACAACAGTGGTGTCAACACTTGTGGCAGCAGTGACAACACTTGTGGCAGCAGTGGTGTCAACACTTGTGGCAGCAGTGGTGTCAACACTTGTGGCAGCAGTGGTGTCAACACTTGTGGCAGTCAACAGTGGCAGCAGAGTGTCAACACTTGTGGCAGCAGTGGTGTCAACACTTGTGGCAGTAGTGGTGTCAACACTTGTGGCAGCAGTGGTGTCAACACTTGTGGCAGCAGTAGTGTCAACACTTGTGGCAGCAGTGGTGTCAACACTTGTGGCAGCAGTGGTGTCAACACTTGTGGCAGCAGTGGTGTCAACACTTGTGGCAGCAGTAGTGTCAACACTTGTGGCAGCAGTGGTGTCAACACTTGTGGCAGCAGTGGTGTCAACACTTGTGGCAGCAGTGGTGTCAACACTTGTGGCAGCAGTGGTGACAAGCGAGGGTGGGGGTCGCTACACGGTACCAGCTGATGTTGTTTTAGATTTAGCTACTGAGAACGAAGTGTCCATGTAGCACGGGCTATGGTGAGCCCGTAGCGTTACCAGTCCACAACATCACCAATATGCTCCTTGGGAGGCTCTTCAGCACTAGCACCTCACCCGGATACACATTCACAACAGTTAAAATACTATCTCCAAAGTATAACGAAGTTTCCAAGTGTCTCGTCAATTAGCCTTTCTCTGAATATAAGTTTTTTCAATATATTGCTTTGAGTAATGGTAGTCGAACTTTCATTTTGAACGAGGGAGGTTTTTCTGATATTTCAAATCTCATTTTCCTTTCTCCAGTTACTCATCCAATGATCTCATGTTAACATTCTCACTGACTGGATTAGCACTCACAGTTTCCCTATGCACTTACGCGCCCAAGTCACTCATCTCTTTTTAAACGGTGTCCCCGAAAACATTTGACACAGTCCAACTCTCACAAATAGAACCTGGTGGAGTCAAACTTTGTCAGTAAGGCAAATGAAGGACGTGTAGGGGGGACAGGTGTGGCGCTGGGGTGTGGCGTGGGGGGTGTGGCGTGAGGGATGAGGTGTGGCGCTGGGGGTGGGTGGGTGGGACAGGACAGATAGGGACAGGAGGATAGAGAAGGTGGTGGAGAGCGACGGCTGCTGAGCGAACCGACATCAGCGGACGCCGGGGTGGGAATGCTCGCTTGCCCATATAGACTCCGCCGTTAATATGGACCAGCTGGACCTACGGCGCAAGCGCTCTCGTTCCTCTCCCTCCCTACTCCTTGTATAATGATAAACGTGTCTCTGTCGTACGGTCGAGTGTTTCCTCTCGACTCCTGGCCGCATTTATTGGCTAGTTCGCCCGTTCCTCTCCTTTGCTGTTCTGCCGTCTCGGCCACTCTTAGTACACATTAATATTCTCTGTTATTATTATTATTATTATTATTATTATTATTATTATTCTGTGTACATATAAGTTTTTAGTTATTTAGTTGGTGAAACTAGAACAATACGTGTCTTATTTAGGTATGTATTTATATACATATTTATGTATGTATTTATGTATGTATGGTATCTAGAGCAGTGCCAGATTGTTCACTAAGGTAAGAGTGCCAACGAGGAAAGTAACGCCGACGGAGGGAAGGGCCAAAATGCCGACGAAAGGGAAGTGCCAAGGAAGAGAACAAGCCCCATTGACGGGATGGGGGAAGTACCTGCCAGAGAAGAACGTACTGACTGGGTACTTTCTCAGTGCCCCAAGGCGGGGGACAGGAGTGGGAGGAGGATCACGAGGGCCAATTATAAACAACGTAAATTAGTTGTGTTAACAATTCTTATATGTAATCCGAATCAATTTTTTTCCCCAGCAAAAATACCGATTTCCAGCGTGTTGAATTTCAGTTAAAAGTTCTTTATATTATATAAAGGAGTATGAGCCAGTATATGTAAAAATGATGCTACTGAGTTCATAACAGACTCGTGTGTCAGGTAACACGACCCGTTCGTGACCTTCACTTATCTGTGGGACGTGTTCGTCTGGAAAAGATAATCACGTGATCACGTTCCACACACACATCACGTTAGTGTGTGTGTGTGTGTGATTTGCCACTTAACTGATAATGTTCGTGCAGAGAGAACTTGCGAGAAAGAGCCAAGCCATTACGACTATATAGCACGTGGAAGGGGTCAGGATAAGGATTTGGGATAGGACGGGGGAAAGGAATGGTGTCCAACCACTTGGACGGTTGGGGGATTGAACACCGACCTGCATGATGCGAGAACGTCGCTATACCGTCGAGAGAGAGAGAGAGAGAGAGAGAGAGAGAGAGAGAGAGAGAGAGAGAGAGAGAGAGAGAGAGAGAGAGAGAGAGAGAGAGAGAGAGAGAGAGAGTAGAAGAAGAAGAGGGTGGTAAAGAGTATTCTTGGGAGGCAAAGAGAAAGAACGGGAGGAAGGGAGGGAGAGAGAACACGTAGAGAGGGAGAGAAGGTAGGGGGGGGGTGGGGCGAGAATGGTAGGGAGAGAAAACAGGATATAAATGGAGGGAGTGAATGGGAAAGGGACCGGAGGGAGAGAGGGATAAGGGAGATAGACAGAGTCATCGCTGGGTACCACATCTAGTAATCTACATTCATTAAATAGAATGTTTGTTTGTCCGAGGCCAGAAGCTAGGGGCTAGTCTCACACAACTTTCCACGGTGATCCGTGAGTGTACGGAGTGTGTCACAGAGGAGCTCTGGGTCGTCCCCCATGCCCCCTATTTTTTTTAGGAAGGATCGGCTCCTATTGCTACTCTCAGAGACTCCTGTCACTCGGATATTGTAGTTTTTCTTTCCAGACAATTTTTCGTCTGTGTTTCATCTGGTTAATTAATATCCCGTCACACACACACACACACACACACTCTCACACACACACTCTCACACACACACGCACACACACACACACACACACACACACTCTCTCACACACACACTCTCACACACACACGCACACACACACACACACACACACACACTCTCACACACACACACTCTCACACACACACGCACACACACACACACACACACACACACTCTCACACACACACTCTCACACACACACGCACACACACACACGCACACACACACACACACACACACACACACACACTCTCACACACACTCTCTCACACACACACACACACACACACACACACACACACACACACACACACACACACACACACACACACACACACACACACACACACTCTCACACACACACGCACACACACACACACACACACACACACACTCTCACACACACACTCTCACACACACACGCACACACACACACACACACACACACACTCTCACACACACACTCTCACACACACACGCACACACACACACACACACACACACACTCTCACACACACACTCTCACACACACGCACACACACACACGCACACACACACACACACACACACACACACACTCTCACACACACACACTCTCACACACACACACTCACACACACACACACACACACACACACACACACACACACACACACACACACACACACACACACTCTCACACACACACACACACACACACACACACACACACACACACACACACACACACACACACACACACACACGACGTAAACACAGGGATTTGTTAACGTTATTATGTTGTTACAAGGTTGCATCAAAGTAACAATAGCATAAATAATGTTGTGATTACTTTGTGGGTTGGTTGGGATTGTATGTTCTGGGAGGAGGGAGAGAGAGAGAGAGAGAGGAGAGAGGGAAGCATAAGGGGAGGTGAGAGAGAGAGGCAAGGGAAAGGGGAGGGGAGTTAAGGGGTAAGGAAGGGACAGGAAGAGAAGGGGGGGATGTGGTGGAAATTTGTAGACGGGAAACCTCGTACTCGGGCTATGCTCGTCCAAGCGGCGGCCGACCCCAAAGACGCATTCCCGTATTTTAGCGTACTATGCAGTCATAATAGGAATGGTCTCTAATATAAATTAATCAATGTATATCTATACAAGAGAATGTTTTTGTCTGTTCGAAGGTTGAGGCCACACCCTTGGGGATATACCTTCACGAAACCTTGCAGGGTGATTGGTCTTTGGTCGGGTATGGTCACAGGCGGGTCGGGGTTGACCCCATGCTTCCCTTTATGCATGAAATGACAAATGATACTAATTTCCAATCTCGCTACATACCAGACTCCATCCTCACTAAGATTCATCAGGCATATTACTCTCAACATGATGATTAAATGTTAGGTTGTCTCCTGTAGTTAATTTATTGATGACGGTGTGTGTGTTGAATAGGGTTAGAGTGATGAAGGTAAAGTGGTGAAGAGCAGAGAAAGTGACGAAGCGATAGGAGGGTAGGGAAGGTGGTGAAGGGGAGAGGGAAAGTAGTTAAAGGTAGAGAAGATGGGGAAAGGTAGGAACGGTGGTGAAGGATAGGGAAGGTGGTGAATGGGAGGGAAGGTGGTGAAGGATAGGGAAGGTGGTGAAGGGGAGAGAAGGTAGTGAAGGATAGGGAAGGATACAAAGGGTCTGAAAGGTGAGAGAAAGGAAAGAGAAAGCTGTGACGATGATGGTTGCAGATGGGGGGTCGGTGAAGATTGTAGTGGTGATAAGTTAGGCCGTGTGTAGTGTACATGATGGCAGTGATGAAGGAAATGTATAGTGAAGATGTGGCGTCCCTTACCCCGAGCACCGCCGGGGGGCTTCCTCTAGCCCCTTAGAGGAATATGTATAGTTATATATTAATAACATATTGTGCATATTTAGACGTATTTTAGAATGGGTGTTTAAGTTTCGTTAGTGATTATTTGCATTTACAGTACGCGGGTGAAGCTTCCATGGAGAGGCGATTCGAACATGGAAAGAAAACGAAGCGATGTTCGAGAATAATTCGAACCTCATCAGTCGTGAGTCGTGTTCAAACAAATTCCTATTCACAAGGAGGGAAGGGAAGGGGGAGGATGGGGGGGGGGGGGTGTTTGGCCTCTGGATTAACGAGCACTTGACCGTAACATATGAGGACGGGCTGGTGATAGGCTGAGAGCCTGAAGACTTTAGAACAAGGAACCAGGTACTCCAGGACCACACCCGACTCACTGAAACAAGCAAGTGCTTTCCTAAACAACACTTAGCCGAAACTAAAGTAAAAACAACAACATAATACTATTACCGAAAGCTCCCCCCCTCCCCCCAAAAAATGGGTAAACATAATGCTTTTGGTGGAAAAAAAAGTTTTATCAGAAACCAAACAAGAGAAAAAGGGTGAACGTAATATTTTTGGCAGAAAACCCCCTCAAAAAGAAAGAAAACGGATAATCTTCGCGAAAAGCTGTTCCAGCTTTAATGTTTCCTTCTCTTGTGTTTGGGGGGAAAAACATGTCTTTTTGGTTTGCGGAAAGTGAGAATAAACCAGGACAGACAGGCACTGGGCCTTGGGAGTGCCATCTTTCCCGGCACTTTCTATGCTCACATAATTTTT